TTCTGCCAAACTGTGACTTGATGAATATTATTAGAAGGGGAAGGGCAAATACAGAAATAATTTATAACACTTCTCCAGAGAATTTGCTCTTGCAACCTGCCCTGCTGTCAGGTCATTTCTTGGAATGCATACTGAAACCTGGAAAATCTGTGGAGCATGGTCCCTATTCCCATTTGTTTATTCTGGGTCTCAAGAACATTCTCAAACAGTCAAAGCAACAGGATTTGAAGTTAACTCTTTCATTGCTTAAGTATATGCAGGTTTATACTTCCACCCAAAGAGGAAAATATTCTAATAATGCTTTTCCATGCACATCTAAAAATATGACTGAATGCCTGTGATAATGACACAATGGAAAGAAATCAAACTATACATATAATTACATGTGTACAAGACACATAACTTAAAAGTTTGTTAGTGTTGAATCAAAACTAGGAAACACAGGGATTCAGCCTGCCTGCTTTCAACTCTCTTTAAAACTTCCTTTTGCAGTCGCATTATGACAGCTCTTATGAACATGATCAGTCTATTTTTTCTAGATAATCCAAGTTCCACCAAAAACAGAGAAAGGACAGCTGCAATTATTATTCCCCCCTCCACCCCTTGTTTGGCGTTCACTGTGCAATACATAACCTCAGAGTAGAAGCATACTCTCCAAGGCTGCCTTCAGCTGCCTCTGCCATGAAACCACTCCTCCTCCTCCCATGAAAATGCAAACTAACTATTTAGGACAGAGGGAAAAGAGAAGGCAAGAAACAGGGCTAGGCAAGAAACCCTAAAGCTACACTGTGGTCTTGAGCTTTTGACTTTGCCATCTTCATGTTATCCTCGTAAAGCAGGGGAGGGGCCTTTTGCAGTTTGAACCAAGTGAAAGTAAGTTTAGAACTGCTTCCTCAAGTAGCATCACCCATGGTTGCCATCCCCTGTGAGGACTGACAAACAGGACTAATAGGATGCTCTACCAGGGGGTTTGAAAGATTTCTGTTCACGGCAAAGCCTTCATGAGCATGAAGACTGCTGGACCTCATTCCAGAGCCACATGATCTTACAGACATTCACCTTCTGCCCCTTCCCCACAGGAATGACTCCTTTGGCAGCATTCCTTCTAACATGTTCTGTTACCAGTCTTGCCCCATCCCTGTCCCCTTCCCAATCTCCTCTCATTCACATCACTTCTAATCACAGGCTTCTCACCCCAATTCCAAACTCTATTTTCCTTTATCTAGTCTCCTCCAGTTGCTCAACAACACCCCCTTTTTCCACCCTGTCTCCAGTCTCCTTCAGAGTCATTCTCAGGTCTCCCAAAAATTGAACTGGGTATGGAACATTCACTTCTACTTATTCTAAAACTCAGTAAGAAAGCTGTTTTCAAGCAGCCTAGGGAAAGCTTTCCCTTCTCACAGAAAGGTTAGAACAAGAAAAGCAAATAAGTGTTTGAATACTAAAAGAAGTGGAAAACTACTAGTAACTAGCTCACTTCTTGTGAATGCCCAAGCTTCAGCCATACTGACCAGTCCAATTCATCATACGTAGTAATGACTCATTTTTACCACAATAAAAGTGACCTGGAGGCATGTTCTGAACCATCAATGGCTAATTAATCACCACTGGTTTGAAGCTGTACCAAAATCACACTCTGCTGATCATCACTCTTCATCTTAACACCAGTTCTGGCATCAGCACAAGCCTTTGAGCAGCAGAACCATTGACAGGAGTTTCCTTGCAGTACTTCCTTATGAGGGGAATAAGTCAGTGTGGTGTAACAGAACTTCAGTTCAATCCCAAATTAGTACCTTCTGGAAAGACATGAATAAAATTGGATATGCTTATGAAAATACAGAATCTGTTCTTACAGGGAGAATTCAACCCATGTTTGATGTGTATGCTCAATGCATTTTAATTTGGACCAATTATTGCAAATTAAGCCCTGAGCCTACAAAAGCAGCCACAGAACCTCACAGTAGCCAAGGAAATAGAAGTAGAACTTCAAAACCAAAAATGTAGTAGTAAACTTTTGCCTTTTAAGGCTCTGATCACAAAATACTTTTCTACCCTTAGAGACCTGTGATCAGACAATTCATCACATGTTAGCAGATCTGATTAAAACATATTTGGTTTCTTAATGTTATAACAGGTTTCTGACCTGTCATAGGTTCTGAGTAGAGCTACCTCAGGAGATGATGGTACAATTGATATCCCAAATTAAGTAAAAACCTAGAGGAATTTTTAGAAAATAAAAACAAAACTTTGGACTTGGAGAATATTCTTATTAATCTAATGCAGAAAACACATCACATCTGTCAAGATATGACCTTCCTCTCATACTGTTAGAGTTTCACTCAGCAAGTAAGTGGATAACCTTGTATATTTCTTGCTTTGCTGGACTGAACCCAACACAATTTTGTCAACTGACAATGATTTTGATCAAGTTAATTGTAGTATTGAGAACATAACTTTTTCAAAAGAAAAAGAAGGCAATTAGATTTCTTAATCTTGACAACACAAGCCTTGGATGATTATCAAGTACTGCTTTGTTGTGTTTCCTTGTAGCTAGTTTATAATATTGCTTCATTCTCCACTTAATGCACCAAGGTCAAGGATGACAATAATGGTTTGAAACTTTATACACTAAAAATAGCTTTGTTGGGGTTTTTTGGGGGTAGAACAATCAAAAACGTTTTAACAAAACAAGACATTGTTTTGGCAGAAGATTCAGTCAGTGACTTTGTAGGTCTTTCCTAATCTACTGTTCAGCATTGACTGTCTTCAGGCACAAAACAGTGAGTATGTTTCAGCATTTATAAACCTCATTCTTTACACATAATTGACCACTCAGATAAAAAGGAGGACAAGTTTTATTTCTGTTGAGTCTTCCCTGAAGAATATGGCCTACATGGCTGATGCAGATTCCTACTGTATCTCCTGTTCTCTTGCATCTGCCCATTGGTGGATGTGCTCCTTGAAAACAGGATTTCTGATCCAGAACCAAAATCCATAGTGAAGTTTTTATTTGGAATGACAGCATTTTGGTAAACTCATTCTCACTGTCCCTGAGCCCAGATATAACTTTACATGAGGTCATTAAAAGTATTTGAATGCAAATTGTTCAGCAGTTAGTGGGGAAGATTTCTGAAAGTGATGTAGCATGTTAGGTTTTTTTTTACCTGTGCCATCTCTCACAGCTTATGGCCACTGAAAGGAGATGCAATTATATAAAGCAGTGTACTCTTCCCTCTCCCCAAAAAACCCTGCAAGAACAGCACCTACTGGTATCATCACCTGTTGATATCAACCCCTGGCTCTCCTGCAGGCCATGGGCTGCCTCGCCTGCATATGAGGAGCCCACTATTTGCTCCAAGGAAACACTGAGATGAAGCAGGAAGGAGGTGAAAGTGGCCACTGAAACCT